ATTGCTGTTCTCTAATTTTGATCATTGTGTTTTCAGCAAAATAAAGGTTTTTTGTTGAAATGCCTTAGTTATTTTGTAAAACACTTTTCTAGTAGCATGGTATAGCCACAACAAGAATTCCTTCAAATGTTAAGCAATGAAGATTACATTATTTCTGAAAAAAATCAAGTGTTCATAAATTGTTCTCTAATTTTGATCTCTAGTGTATGTCCTCTGTAGCACTGTGACATCTGTGCACCAACCTTTATTTATGTGGAGACAGATTCCCCCTCCTCTCATTTTCCCGAACAGCTCCATTACACGATCAGCTCTGTACACCTGGAAGCCTGGTACTTGGATTGCACTGTCTGCGATGGAATCGCTGAGCCAAGTCTCCATGAAGCACAAAGCAGAGAAGTGTGCAAAGTCAGGGTTGGTCCTGTTGACGAGAAGGAGTTCATCTAAATGGCTAGAGAGCGGAGATTCACTAGGTGGATAGATGGGAGTGGAGTCCAGGTCCCTCTCTGGCATAGCTTAAGCAGAGCTCCTGCTCGCTCCCTTCACCGCCGTTTTCTCCAGGTCCTGCAAATTGCAGCTGTGCCTCCAATCAGAATGTCCACACAGCAGCATTGTTTATTCACAAAAATTGGAGAAAGGTAGTTTGGGGTGAGTTGGTCAATGTTTAACAGTTCTTCCATGGTGAAAGTAATCCGGGATGGGTTGCAAAAGACCAAGGAGACAAAGAAAGACAGCAAACACAGGAGAGCACACTTAACCAAGGCAGCCATAGTCATTGGCGCCATTTTGCATTAAACCCCTACAGTAACTCTCTGGTTGTTTGTCTCTTCCGTGTTTTTGTTTGGCAGCTTCCTGGTTCCTTTACTGCCAGTGCCTCTCGACTCCTCTCTCCGTTTTCGGCCATGTAGTAGCCTCTCTGTTCTCCTGGTCTCCTCATCTCTGCTTGGCCTGAGTCTCTCCTCCCTTTACCTCAACCTGCTCAGCACTCTGTCCTCTCAGCTAACCATTGCTTCACTCAACCAACTCTACACAGCACAGCCCAACATCTCTGTGCTCATCTTTACTACCTGCCTGACTCGTTCCACTCCAGCTCGGCAAAGTCAGCCTCCCAGTACACCTCAGTGCTTCCGGCCTGACAAGCTTCTCTTGACCTACTTGACACAGCACAGCCAGCCTCCTGGTGTTTCTTTTTTCAGACCACCTGACTGTAAATTTCTCTGCTACCCAGTGCTCATCTCCACTGGCTCTACTCTGACCTGGCCTTTACTTCTAGTGCTACGCCATGCAAACAGCAAGATGACATGCCTTAACCCCCTATGAACCCTGCTCTCAATTGGCTTCACTTGGCTCAAGTGCCCTGGCATTTCCCCTTTACTTCCCGTCTGGCAGCATCCAACCCTCCTACCAAGCCTGACCTCTGAGCTCTGTGTGGTCATCCCTGTTCCTGCTCACTCACCACTTAGAAGGCCTTTGTCCAGCCCAGGCCTAGACCTTCCTACTGAGCCAGCACCAGCTTCCCAAAGCCAAAACTCCCAGACTGTCACCGATGTTGACTCCTACCCAGCTCCTATTCTGCCAGTCCTGCAGCCTCAACTTGTCACTGCTTGATACGGGATCAGCTCCCCAACATACCTCCAGATCAACTCCTCACCCTAGTCCCCTGCTTCGGTCACACCTCTGATCATGACTCCATCCACCTAGGCATCAGGACTACTAGACACTCATTAATCTCTTCCAGTATCATTCTCTCTTACTCCTCTGTGATTCTGATCTCAATAAAAGACCTAGAAGAATGGCATCATCTGCTGGTATGGACTGACCACAAAAATTTGGCCTATCTGCACTCGGCCAAGAGGCTAAATTCTCGGCAAACCAGGTGGGTATTATTCTTTTGGTGGTTTAAGTTTTCCAACCAGGGTCTAGTAATTTAAAACCAGATGCCTTGTCTTGCCAATCTGGCTCCACACAAGAAGCCATTGAGCCTGGAGCCATCCTTCCTCTCTCTTGTGTTGTTGCTGCTGTCACCTGAGAAATAGAAAGAACTGTGAGGGAGGCCCGGAGTAACCAGCCTGACCCCAGCACAGCCCAGGTCACACATTTGTACCAGACACAGTCAAATCTAAGGTCTTGCAGTGGGCTCACACTGGTCGCTTCTCTTGTCACCCAGGTATTCATCACATGATATCCCTCTTAAAACAGCATTTGTGGTGGTCTACTGTAGAAACAGACACCCGAGAATACATTCAGACTTGCTCAATCTGTGCCAGAGCCAAGCCTTCACATCAACCCCCATCAGGTCTCCTACACCCCTTACTGGTTCCCAGCTGGCCTTGGTCACACACTGTTGTTGACCGGTTCTCCAAAGCTGCTCATTTCGTGGTCCTACCTCAACTTCCTTCTTCCCACAAGACAGCCGACCTCCTGTCCTAG